CTGACACCTATGCCATTACTAAAGATATCGAGAAGGCAAAGTGAAAAATTCATTGCATCACCGCAGCTGTCTTCATACAACTGAACTCAGGTACTTTTGCATCCATGTCTTGAAATCCATTTGACTGGTCACCTTTTAGTATAAAGGACTGGTTTTAATCTCTCATTCATCCTCTAACCTTTCTCCTTTTTATTGTTTTTTTTTTCTTTAGTAAATACTTATTGGGAGTTGACTCTTAAGGTATCAGAAGAGGCTGTGTGTTATTTGAAAGAAAGGAATTAAAGGAATTAAATTAAAACTTAAAGTAAATAAGTAGTGATAATGCTTGAGTCTGAAATGATAAAGTCTGATTAAATAGATTAGAAAAAGATTAATCAAAGATGTAAGCAAAAAGAAAAAAAAATGTTGAAATAAACCTAACCTGATTAAATATAAGACAACAGATAATACAAACATGATATTTAAAACATTTAAGAAACAGAACAACATGGAAACTGAACAAAAAGGGTAGACACAGGCCAGACTATCCAATTGGAGCATGTCCACTCTTTATCACACCTGGATACAACATTCTTACCANGCTTACTCATCATTACAACAGACAGTCATTCTTTGTGTCTGTAGACAAATTCTTCATTAGCCCCTTTCTCTGTTCCCCTCCCAACCCCTTTTCCAAATCAACATTGTACCCCACATGTATGTATAATATTTTTTAATTAAAAATATAAAAATAAAAAAGAATAAATTCTATTTGCAGCAACATGGATGAACTTAGGGAAAATCATGCTAAGTGAAATAAGCCAGGCACAGAAAGAGAAATACTGTGTGTTCTCACTCATATGTGGGAGCTAGCAGAAATAAATAAATAAACAAACAAGTAAATAGGGGGAAAAGGCACAACAGTCACAATAATTCCTTGACCTTGTTAAGAAATGAGAACAGATATGATCTTGATGGGGGTGGGAAAGGGGAAGTGAAAGGGGGAAAAGGGAGCAATTGGTAAAGGCCCATGAACATCAACTACATTGTATAATGATAAATAAGAAAATTAATTTTTAAAAAATAAAAAAAAAAAGATTTGGGCTCTTACCTCAAATCAGACACGTGAATCAAGAGTAAAGCACTGGTTGACAAACATACAAAACCAGCAGCACAACAAAACATACCCACCCCCACTAATAAAATCTTAAAAGCTCCCATTGTAGCTAAATTCCCACCAGAATTCTTATTTAAGGAATTTGAGGCAAAGTGAATCTTAGCACCCAGATAAAGAAAAGGCTAATTGGAAACAGGATGGTGTTTTATCTAGACTGACTGTGGGGACACCCACATAGCCCCTTTGTCTCTCCACAGGCTCGCATCCAAAAGCTAGTTTATATCCTTCAGAAGATAACCTACCACAGGAGAAAAACCATTTCATCTGGTCTCCAAACACTGGTGGGAAAACTTTAATTATTGAACAGATCACCTTTGTATGTTCCATCTGTCAAAGCACAACTGGGGAAAGATTCTAAAGGTGGAACATGAATGAAAACCTGTTTTTGACGGTCTCTTCTACACTGTCACATGAATTTGATCTAACTTCTTAACTCTGAAGTTTATCGACATCTACTGACCATCGCATGCCTATGTTTTGGATGGCTACTTTAGACCACAACAGGTAAAGTACTTTTTTAGAGGGAGTCCTCCCTACCTGGGGTATCCCAGATTTCTTCTCCGGTGATGGGGAGCTCAATTCACTGGCAAAGTGTTACAGTACAGCGATACAGCCATAAGCCAAGGACTTCCGAGGAATGCAAGGAATCCACCAGAAGCTACAGGCAGCAAGGTACAGATTCTCTCTATAGCCTCCAGAGGGAGTGCGGTCCTGCAGACACTTTGATTCAGACTTGTGGCCTTCAGAGCTATGAGGGACTAATTTTCTGTTGTTTTAAACCACTTAGTTTTTGGTAGTTTGTTACAGCATCCACAGGAAATTAATACAGCTCTTTATTTTTGTTTTGTCTGGCCACTCAATGACTCAAACCTAATATAATCAGACATCCTTAAGTCCTATAACTATGGAAAACAATATGGAGGGTTCTCAAACAACTACAGATAGATCTTCCATATGATCCAGCAATCCTTCTTCTGTGTATACATTCAGAGGAATGGAAATCATCATGTTGAAGGGATACCTGCACTTCCATGTTTATTGCAGCTCTCTTTACAATAGCCAAGATATGGAACCAACCTAAACGTCCATTGATGGATGATTGGATAAGGAAACTGTGGTATATATGCACTATGGAATACTACGCTGCCATAGAAAAGGATGAAATATTCCCATTTGCAACAACATGGATGAGCCTGGAGAAACTTATGTTGAGTGAAATAGGCAAAGCACAGAAGGATAAATACTGCATGTGCTCACTCATATGTGGGAGCTGAGAGAGAAAGAATAAAGGAAAGAAAGACTGCAGTAGTGCCGTGGTCTAACAGAGGGGGGGAACATTCCTAGGGCTACAAAGTGGAGTGGGGGGAGTGAGGGAGGAGGAGGGAGGTTGGGGGATAATTGGGTGGGGACAGGGTGTAACGGTAATTTCTGGTGGTGGGTGTGCTTCCCAGTGTGAATCTGACCCTTACATCATGGGCAGGAGGGGTGACAATTAGCTTTGTACCTCATGAATATTCTTAATAATAAAATAAAAGGACTTATTAAGTATACTCATGCTTATAACCAATAGATTAAAGCTTCCTTCCTTCCTGATGTGTCTTTTTATTCCCTTCACAGTCTTCAATTAAAGGATCAAGTCTTTTGTAAGTACACCACCAAATACTAATTGTGAATATTAGGCCTCATGGCTAGTTTAACATCAGCACAGCCAGGTTAAGCAACTTTCCCCCCCCCCCTCCCCTTTCCCTTTTCTGCTCTGGGAACTGAGATTCCTCTCCTGGGAAAGGGTAAACATTACCATTATCATCAAGGGAACATCTTGTGGGCAGCGTCCAGCAGGCTTGGGCTGGAATGTTTTGTACTGAGATAGTGGCTAATCAAGAGCCTATGCCCTAACCGACCAGATGTCATTGGACCACAGAGGCTGTGTCACCTTGCATACCAGATTTTGAAATCGCCCTTTACTCTGTCTGAACCCTCCCTAAAAGTCTTATAAACCCCGTGCTTTCCTTAGTTTGTGGGAACTGACCTGGTTCGGTCTCCCCTCCACATTAGTGGAATAAACTTTTTGGCTGAAATGGCTCCTGACTTGGGTCTCTCTTTTCTCTATCTCGCCAAACCTAATAGTGAACGCAGATGGAAAGGATCTTACATAGTCCTTCTCATGACTAATACCACAGCCAAACTTCAGGGTATCCAACCTTGCTTTGTAATTCTCAACATAAAAATATAATACCTACTCTGAATGGAAATCCACTCTAACTGAGGCAACTTTTTCAGGAATGCTAGAGCAAGCAGAATAAGTCATGAATTGGTCAGCTACCATTCAAGATGTTGGAATAGGATTCCTAGGATTGCCTTGTCTATTTTCTTAATCTAACCATTTTCTTGTCCTTTTTTGCTGTATCCTCTTACTCCAGCCCCTCTAATGTCATTTTTGCTATCTACGTGATTATCCCCATTGCAACTACAGCCTTCCTCGATGATTCTTTCCTTCTGTTGTCTTCTCACCTCCCCCTCATCTAAATGGTTCTCCTTTTTATAGCTCCTCCATCTCTTCAAGGCTATCAAAGCATCTGGCGCATTTTCACCAAACTTGTGGTGAAATTTTACAGTTTCATTTCTATTGGTTGTGCACTCCCTTTCCCTTGGAAGCTTCTAGCATCCTACAAATCCCTGTGTGTGTTTCACATTTTAAAACATCCTTTGATTGGTACTGATAGTGGGACCTCTCCT